ATCACTTGTAAATTTCTTCTCTAAGTGACCACGTTATTTCTCTACTGAAGTCTTGAACTTGATAAAGTTATTAAAGGTTTTATCTTTTGACTTTAGTAAATAAGCATGACAATGTCTGGAGTGGTCATCAATAAAAGTGATGAAATATTTCATGGCTCCTCTAGTAGTAAAACTGCTAATGTCACAAGTGCCGGAATGAATTAATTGTAGTAATTGTGTACTTCTTGTGACACTATGAAAATATTTCTAGAGATCTTTGCTTGTATGCAAACTTCATATTGACTTGGTTTATCATCCCCATAGTTAGATAGAAGTCTCAAATTATTCATGTTAAAAATTTTCAATAATTAACATGATCAAGTCTATGATGCCAAAAAGAAGAGGAGTGCACAGAAATAGAAACTTCATTAGTAGCTAAGATTGATCTTTAAGTACTTATCTTGTACATCACATCCATATGATAAGCATTATCCAATTATGATAAGAAAGAACAACTTTTCCTCCTTTAAATCTAGGCATTCCAGCATCATTGAGAAGGCTCCTAAACACCAGGCTTTTTTCAACTGATAGAACATGCTTCATATTCTTCAGAGTAAGAGTACTTCCGAAGTATGGAATATCACTACTGTCTTGGTTCTAAGGACACTAGTAGTAGAACGATTATCCAACGATACATTCTCATTAGTAGCAGCGTAAGAAGTAAAAATGCTCCTGTTGATGCAGGCCCTCCAATAGCACCGGTGTCTAACCCCAATTCAGTAGTGTTAGAAAAAGTTATCACCTAAAAAAGCATAGCCACAAAGTTCTAGACTTTCGCAATATGATTGACTTTAGAAATATGTTTGACATTCTTTTATTTTTCCTTTGATGCTTTACATGCCTTGCAAAGTGACCATTTTTCACACAATTGAAGGATTGGCCTTTCATTTTGAACTCCTTCTTTTACACACTGATATACTTCAAAGTGGCAAACTTCTTCTTGAAATTCTTCTTTTCTTGTTGTTGAACCCATGGATATGTTTGGTAGACACTATGTTAGCTGACACCTTTTGTTTAGTGAGTAACTCATTTTTAGTGTGAATCCTAACTTTATCCTTAATCTGTTGAACCTCTTCAAGCCTGCTAACAAAACATGTATCTTTTTTCTATTAAGGTGTCGTAGAGATTGTTCTTCCATCTTTCAATTTCATGACAATTTTTTCAAGTTCCTTGAATTGAGGTAAAACCTCTTTATCATCTTTGAATTTGAGTTGAGGAGTTTATCAATAAGGTGTATTTTGAAAAGCTTCTACTCATCTTTGTACTACTACTCTAGTGCACTCTAGATGTCCTTCACAGGGGCTTAGTAGGTGTAAACATCTGTAAAGTGGTCATCAAGATAATCGAGGAGATAACTTCTACGAAAGGCATTATTATAGTCTAAGTTTCCTTTTTTGGTTGTGTCATCCTCCTAGAATGTCGGTTTGTCTTCTAAGGCAATAAATCTATAGGAGTTGCATCCAAAAGATCATTTTGCATCACCATGCACTAAAGTCTCTTTTGTCAAAGCTTTTGAGTTTCAGATAGTCAATTCTCAAAGTTATTATACGATCTGTCATGAGACTAAAATCTTGCTTTAAGTATGCTCGAACAAAAGGGGAAAATTAAGACACGGGATGTTCACTTTTTGAAATACTTGTCGCGCGTAGAAAAAAAAAGTTCCAGTTGTTGTGTGTCCTAAAATGCTAAACTTAAAGAAAAATTTAGCCCATTCTGATGCGAGGATCTCAATGCCAAATTACTTTTAGGAACAACAATTTGAGTATACTGGTGTACACCAACTAGCACCTCCACAATCACATTGATCAAGATTAGGCATTAGGCGACCTCCTTAGCCAGACTTCAAACTATAATCCCCTCAGTTTCGTACAAAATTAGACTTAAACTAGCATCGTAACTCTTAGAGCATAGGTGATAGAGATTGTACCTTTTTGGTGTTGAGAAAATGACATTATATAGGTCTCTAACGAGCTAAGGAGTTAACAACCCATTAATGTGAGTAACCAAAAAGTCAAGTCAGTTACACTCACTCAACCCATTAATATTGCTAACTGCTTTGTTTAGTGAGCCCATTAAACATATAAATTCAAAATCCTAACAGTCAAGCTAAACATAAGTGCATCTACAAGCACAAATTGCACTATCATAGTATCTCTGCCCGATTTGCTTAAATCATGACCCCAACTGGAACCCTATTCTGAATCCAAGTCCAAGTTTCTACCTATAATTTATTCAAAAAAGATTTTAATCACATGGCTACAATGTATTTTTTATAAAAAGATATACTATAATATATGTGGTTTGTAACTTAGCACACATTTTGGAGAACTTTCTACAAAACTCGTATAGGGTGTTGAATAGTAGATGTGGGATATGATTCGATAGTTGTTATTAAGGTAGTGTAAGAGAAGATGATAGAGTCTTCTCTTGATGGAGGCCTCTTAAATGACATTAAACGCTGATACATCATGGGTTGGAGGTTAAGTTGAATCATATTTAGTGCGAAGAAAATCGTAGTGGAGATCTATTGATTAGAGAATAACTTAGTCCAGAGCCAGGTCTTAGAAAATTTTATATATAGAGAGAAGTATATTATGAGCTGACAACTCATTTTGCAAAATGGACGAACAAGTTTATGTCATGTGAACCCCCTGCTAGTTTCATCCATGTGGGGATCACATGGTGCTGAATTGGCATTCTATTATGCAAAATGTGTTCTTAGCTAATACTCAGTTTCCTCAATATGTGTCGTCGCGCAATGCCTTACTATATATATATATAGTATATATATATATATATATATATATATATATATATATATAAATATATATATATAATATATATATATATTATCGAGAAATATAGGTATGCTTGGTACCAAGCATAAATTTTGTGCTTGGTAGTGGGGTAGCACAATCCCCTCACTCATTCAAATGTGGACCACATTCACATGGGTTGAGAGTGCATGAGAATATGCAACTATTTTGAATGAGTGGAGGGGATTATGCCACCTCACTACCAAGCATAACTTTTTGTGCTTGGTACCAAGTATACCCATTTTTTTTCTCTCCCTCCTCTCTCTCTCTCTCTCTCTCTCTCTATATATATATATATATATATAATATATATATATATATATATATATATATATATATATATTATATATATAAAAGTTAGTGAGTTGATGAAGTCATTCTTTATTCCATATTTATAAAATTTAATTTTATTTAGCTGAAGGCCTATTTGGATTGAGGATAACAGGAGATAGGAGAAGGTAGTGGGATCATTAGCTTGGTTCATTAACCTTGATTCACTATAACAAATTGCACTTTTCCCGACGCTTATTACCGAGGCATGGTTAAATACGTCGCCAAAAACTAAGTTTTTCCCGACGATTTTAGTTAGCGTCAATAAAACATATATTTTCCCCCACGTTTATAATTAGCGTCGCTAAAAGTGTATATTATTTGCGACGTTTTAACTTAGCGTCGGTAAAAGTGTATGTATTTCCCGATGTTTTTTTATTTTCGTTAGTAAAAGTATAGCTTTTAGCGACGTAAAAATATTCGTCGCAAAAAAGTATACATTTGGCGATGCACGTTAGCGTCGGCAAAAGTATAGCTTTTAGTGACGAACAGTTTTGCATCACTAAAAGTAAACATTTTTGCCGACGCTATATTTCGTTGGCAAAAATATAGCTTTTAGCGACGCAAAACAATTGACTATTGCGTCCTAAAAACTATACATTCGCCGACGCTTTACTATTCATGTGCGTCGCCAAAACCAGCACAATTTTTTTTCATTTCCCCGCCTACTTTTCAATTCCTCCCCCTCTTTTTTTCATTTCCCCCTCTCCATCTAAAACGGGCCAACCCCTCCCCCCACTCAACACTTCCTCCCCTCGAAATTAATAGTGAGGGCCCTTTTAAACCCCTCCCTTCGGTCTCGTCTCTTCTCCTCGGCTCCGTTCTCGTTGAATCTCCTTAACGGATCTCAATCGAGGAACTTTGAAACCCTAGCCTATGAGCAGGGACGCCGCTGAGGCGGTTCCCCCGGTTCCGCAGAACAAGGCCCCTACTTGGGGAGCCCATATGAAATTATATTACCTCGTCATTCAGTTTCTTAATACAACCCTGTTGGTTCTCTACCGCCGCCGCCAACACTGCTATCTTCCCTCTCAATCTCATCACCTACTTCTCCAACTCCTACGTAGCAACCTCCTTACCTGCAGCCCCCTTTAAAACCTGCGTCTGGTTGCCAGTCGATTGGAAGAACAATCTCATCACCGTCGACCTCAAACACGACTGCTTGCAGACAGGACACGTGGGCTTCTTCCACGACGGACAGTACTCCATCCTTTGCTGGATGCTGTTCATGAAATCAAAAGAAAAGTACCCTTCTTCATGGTTTAGCCTTCTCCATTGCAGGAGTTTTTCTATTTTATGTTAAAAATTTAGGGAAAATTTCCTCTAATTGTTGCCGCTGAAAACAGGTGCTGGGCAGAGGGGGCGCTGGCGGTGGAGTTGGGCAGAGCGACATGATTGTATGCCAACGTGAAAATTCCCTCTAATTTCAGGCAGAGGTGGTGAATTAAGCTCTGATCAAGGCTCCAGTTTAGCCTTCTTCAAAGTTTCTTGTCTGAATCCAGATTCAAATAATAATCTCGGGTCCACGCTCCAGTTTAGCTAATAGTTTACATGTTTGATATTTTAGGATTATTCTTCAATTCTTACCATCTGCTTATGACTCTTCTGCCTTTTCATATTTGGTTGGAAACTCCTAGAGTCTTAATTAATTCTACCTCTATTTTCTAGGAACCGAGCAGTGTAGAGAAAATAATGGAAATTGATGAGCACATAGGCTGTTTCTACCTCTATTTTCTAGGAACCGAGCAGTGTAGAGAAAATAATGGAAATTGATGAGCACATAGGCTGTGCTATGAGCGGATTGATTGCTGATGCGCAGTGTAGAGAAAATAATGGAAATTGATGAGCACATAGGCTGTGCTATGAGCGGATTGATTGCTGATGCGCTGACTCTTGTTGAGCATTCTCGCGTTGAAACTCAGGTGCTATTATATTTTTCAAGAAAATTCCATGTGTGCAATTATCCTTGTATGTCTTAGTTTTTGACATTAAAATTGTATCTTATCAGAATCACAGGTTTTCATATGGTGAACCTATGACAGTTGAGTCAACTACACAGGCTATATGTGATCTTGCTCTTTGATTTGGTGAAGAAGATGAAGAATCTATGGTAAGAATTGCTATTATTCAAACATCATCTTTATTTGTCTTCTGTAGTGAGATGGACTGTTTCTCACCATTCATAACCATCTTCTTTTAGCATGCAACATCTACATCACTTTCCATGAGATGGATTGTTTCTCACCATTCTTCACCATCTTATTATTAGCAATTTAGCATGCAACATCATCTTTTTAGCATACTTCCTTATGTCATCATGCAAACACGCACACTCGCAAATACCTATCATCCAACCCCACATGGCCCTCTCCCTGCCGCAGGGGTGGTGGATCCTTTGTTGCTGTTTCACCTTATGTATGATGTTCTTGTTTGTCAACATAATTGAGTGAATGAATGTGTGGGGATAATTGAATTTAGTGATTGTTCTTCTTGCAAACCATCATGTTCTATTTCTTCAGAAGTTCTATTTCTTCTGTTAATAAATTGGCGAATGTCCTGTGTAAAGACCTTCCTTAGTGTCAAATATATTGATTTTCATCACTTGGTATGTTGATTGGTCATGGTGGTGTATATGATTCTGTTTCCTTGCTAACACTTATTGCACTTCAGATTAGAAGTGCACTAGTTGGTGTATATGATTCTGTTTCCTTGCTAACACTTATTGCACTTCAGATTAGAAGTGCACTAGTTTGTTTGTCTTCGCTTATATTTTCCCCAGCATTTTGTTTTCACCTCGGTGCTATGCTATAAAAAATTAATTCTTAATTGCATCTATTATTCTTTTTCCTTTTTTTCCCTTCCTAGTATATGCTTTCCAATTTCCACTGCAGTATTCTGTAACGTCGGAATTCATGTTGAGTCTGTAATAACACAACTGTAGCATTTGTAGCCTACTACCTCAGTATCTGGAACCGTTTACCAGTCTCTTACTTTGTCAAATATTGTGATCAAGCATAATATTTCTATATTTCTGTTTAAATCAAATAATAAGAATAGGCGTTGTCTTCCACTTCTTGTGCTTTGAACTGGTTGCTACTTTTTTCCTTTTTTATTATCTCTTAAGATATGAATTCTTTATGTAAAAATTTTGGAGAGGATCCATTCTTATATGGTTTTGTATGATCCACTAGGCAGAAGTCTGAATCATTTCTTTAGCTAATAAAATGTTTTTGTAGTTCTTCTGTAAGTTCTTACTTCTTAGGTAGTTTTTTTGCTGGTTTTTTCTTAGATGCTGGACAAAAGTATCAAGTAACATTTGTTTTGTTTTTCCTTTTGGTTTTGCAGGGCTATTCTGGTGATTATACACGGCCTCAATGAACATAGGTAAGAAACATGTAGGATGATAATGAGCATGACACTCTAAAGCATTATTGTTTTTAACAACCTTAGGTTCATATCATAATATTTCAATGCAGTCTGTCAGACTCTGTCTGTATGGTTGTTAGTGTCCGGCTCGTTCTAGAGAATGAATCTTTTCCTTAATGGAGGCAGTGGCTTGCATGAACTGTGATCCTGGAGTCCTGAAAATGATGAGTTTCCAGTCCCTATCAAATGGTTGCTATTGCATGAACTGTGATCCGGTCTTCCTACCTATCCATAGGATGAAGACATCCATATCATTGTAGTTAGTTATATGAATTGCAATACTAATTTGATGCTTTCTATTTCCAGTGGTAGATATACGGAGTTTGCAAAGAAACTCATGTCGTGCAACTTTGGAGTATATGCAATGGATTGGACAGGTAGACACCATGTACACACTGTTCTCTGGCACCTCTTTGTATTGTTCCTTTCTTGCAAAATTTTTCGACTTCCATCAATTTGATTACAAGACTATAAAAGCCTATTCAAGCTGAAACTAATTTTCTTCACATGAGAGGGTCTTGAAATGGTGATCTTTACTTCCAAATGATACATGACATGAGAGAGTCTAGAAAGGGTGATCTTTACCTCCAAATGATACATGCATGAATACATGTTAAATATTCTAATTGTGCCAGTTTCTGGTCGATGTTATTTTCCTTTATTATATTTGGAAAAGGTATATTGTGTTACGTTCAGTGTACAAGTTTAGTAGCATTACAATGAGATGGAGAGTGGAAACCCCGGTTTGTCTTGGACCTTGGTGAAGTAGCAACAAGGCACACCTTTCATTCCTTTGAAAATTGTACGAATAGTGTGCTATGAGTAGTAGTGTTAGCATTACTCATTGTTATCAGCTTTCTTTCATTCATGGTCATCTGCTCATTGTTATCAGCTTTCTTTCATTCATGGTCATCTGTCATTTGCTTCTAAAGATTAGTATGGGAAGCAGTAGAGTTCTTGAATGTATTACCATATGTTTGCTTCTAAAGATTAGTATGGGAAGCAGTAGAGTTCTTGAATGTATTACCATATGTAGTTCCTTTAATGCAACGGCTCTTCTGGAAATACCCTATGACTATCTCAAAGCAAAAACCGATAATGTTTTGTGTCATAGGTTTTGTTTCTGATTTTAAGGTATTCAGACATCTGTTTGATGTTTACAATTCGTTTATCTTTTAAAATTTCAAGTCATGGAGGCAGTGATGGACTGGACGGATATGTTCCTTCACTAGATCATGTTGTTGCCGATGTTGTAAGTTCTTCCTACTAGTTGGAGATGGATGGGTTAGGGTGTCTGTAATTTCCTTTTTGCATAATTTTCAAATGCCTCTAGTCTTTGTCTACATGATCTTTGCTATGATTTTGCTTGAAAATCTTGCTTCTGTTTCCCCTACTTAATGATCCATCTGTAGTATTTTTAAGTCTCACCGAAGAACATGTTATTGTATCTAAGTGCTATAAAATATATAGTATTATTTGTTTGAGCTATATATATGTAGCTGATAATCTGACGTTGCATTTTCTCTAACAGGAAATAATCAAAGAATTGATGGAAAGGCTACCACACATGAAAGAGCTTATGGATATGTACTGTGGCCCTGATAGAGTGACTGCAAAGCAACAAATGCAAGAGTTAGACAGAGTCGCAAAAACTCTACCAGAGAATATACCTTCATCTGTGAAGAGGTTCATTGATCGTGCCGTTCTTTCACTTCAAGTTTTCTTTTTTTCAACTTAGTCTAGTTTCCTGTAAATTTTATAATGTGTCATTCTCTGAAATGGAAAACATTGAATATGGCAAACTGGAATATTTAAACAGGCCTTTGAGTGTTGACTTGGAAATGGAAATGAATGTAATTATTTTGCAATGAGAGCAAATTCTTTGTTTATCAAAATATGCAACTTGTTTGGAGTATAATTTGATGTTTGGTTTTTTTGTTGATGTGAATGGGAGCAAATTTTTTGTGGATGTTCAGGTTCAGTGTAGGCTTGTAGTTGATAGAAAAGATATTACTTTTGATGATGCAAATTAGGGTCGACAAAATTATACTTTTTACCGGTGCATAATTATGCGTTGCCAAAAATTATACTTTTGCCGACGCTGTCTTGCGTCGGTAAAATTATAGCCTTTAGCGATCCTATCTTGCGTCGTCAAAAGTATAACTTTTAGCGACGCTTCACTCGGCGTCGCTAAAAGCTGCACTTTTACCGACGCTAACTTATGTCGCCAAAAGTATAGTTTTTAGCGACGAACAATTTTGTGTCGCTAATAACTATACTTTCGCCGACGCATAGCTTTTGCCAATGCTGCATACGTCGCTAAAAGTACACTTTTGCCGACGCAAAATATTATGCGTCGCTAAAAGATATACTTTTCCCGATGCATGACGCGTCGCCAAAAGTGTACTTTTGGTGACGCAGTGTATTTGCGTCGCCAAATACTTTCCTTGATGCACTTTTGGCGACGCGTTAGCAACGCTGCATTTTGCGTCAGGAAAGATTTTTCCCAACGTTTTTTAAACTTTTACCGACATTTTTGTTTCATCGACAATGTTGTATTTTGTTGTAGTGATTGAGAACTCATTTGTGACATATAATGAGAAGGAAGGTAAGGTAACTAAGGTAAAAAGATCTAGGATTTTGTTCCCCGCTAAATTGGGGTGTAACCAAGCGGAAGTGAAGACACTATTACACTATGGCAATTTTATCCTTCTAAAAAAAAGAGTATCACATGTAGGATTATTTAATAAGTTTACATTTGTTCCCTTCTCTGCTTTCACTTTATTAAATTTCCCAAATGTGGTGAAATAAGTTCCATCGGCTACCCTTACTAAATCTTCGAACAAGTTTTGTATATTATCTTAACTTCCTTAAGTTATCCTATACTCACTTAGCTTCCCTTTACTATGGGCAAATCCAAACAGATCCTTAGGGCTTCAGCTGTCTTGATTTAGTAGAAAAAGAAGTTGTAGAAATATGTGTCGGACTGTGGTGTAAGGTCGAAAATGCTTTGCAGGACACTTGATTTGTTGCAAGTACGAGTACAATACATCCATATGCTTTAGATACTTCTCATGAAGCGACTTAATTCACAACAACTCTTTGTTTAAATGAATGTACCATATTAATTGGTAGTTTTGAAGTAAGGGACTCTTGTGAACAGGAGCATGTGCATGTTGTGCATGTTTTACAGTCAGGCTGTTGTTTTAAAGCTGGTAAGAATGAACTACCAATACAGGTTGAGCATCTTTCCAATCATCTACAATCTGGATTTGTGCAAGCTATGCATGGTCAACAATATATGCAAGGAGGTGCTTATAGTAATAAATCTAAGCTTGTCAATAGAGGTTTAATTGGTATCACTGAACCTGTGCAAGTACAAAATTCAGCAAATACATGTGATAATTCATGGGCTATAATTCAAAAAAAGAAGCTAAAGAATTCTATTAAGCCTGGCAACTCTTTTGCTCACCTGGAGACCCTGGCTATTGAACCCTCTACAAGTAATAGAGGGGAATTATTCCAATAATGAATCTATCATTTTGGAATGTCAGAGGACTGAATAAGTCCTCTAGACAACATTTGGTGAAGCAATAGATATCTCAATATTATCTCTCTTATTTGGCTTTACTGGAGACAAAGATAAAAGCTAGTAAACTTCCTAAAGTTGTCAAGAAATTAGCAAATGGCTGGAATTAGCTATCCAACACAAGTTATGAAAGGAAAACCAGAATATTAATCTTGTGGAATCCTAATATTTTAGATGTAAATATGGTTAATCTCTCTGATCAACATATAACATGCTCAGCCAAATGTCTGCTAGGAAAGTCTTATGGGATGATTTAAAGTGTATCTATCAATCAGTTGGCAACCCTTCTTGGCTTTTGTGTGGTGACTTTAATTCAGTGATTAGTAATGAAGAGAAATTAGGAGGTTCTTTACTCTCTGATGCTGATCTAAATGATTTTAGGGATTTTGTCTTTGACTGTAAGCTTAATCATCTGAAGACTATGGGAAGCTTTTATACTTGGAATAATAAGCAAGACTCATCCTCAAGGATTTGGTGTAGGTTGGACAGAGCCTTGATAAATGATGAATGGTTACATAAATTCAACTCAAGTCAAGTTGAGTTCCTTTCCTCCAATTTTTCAGATCATTCTCCTGCACTAGTTTCAGTTTATGAAGATTGTGTGCATGGTAAAAGGCCTTTAAAATTCTTTGATATGTGGATAAAACATGAAAAATTCCTTCCTGTTGTTGCTAGTATATGGCAATCTAATATTTCTGGTTTCAAAATGTACTCTGTATGCACAAAGCTGAAAATTTTGAGAGGTGTACTCAAGGATCTAAACAAGAGGCATTTCTGCAATATTAGTGAGCAAGTCTTAAGAGCAAGACAAGTTCTGGATGAAGCACAGGAAAATCTCCAGCATAACCCTCTTAGTCAATCGTTCATCAACAAAGAAAAAGAGTGCTTAGAAAATTTCAACAAATTGCTTGATTGTGAATTGTCCTTTCTTCAACAAAAAGCCAGGATTAATTGGACATCAAAGGAGACAAATGCACCATGTTTTTTCACTCAATGATTTAATTGAATAGGAACCAAAATAAGATTCTGATTCTCTACAATGATCTGGGGCAAAGGTTAACTGATGGAGATGATATTGCTAATGAATTTGTATATTATTACAAGAATCTTATAGGAAAGGAGGTCATCACTTTAAAACCAGATATTAAAATTATCAAATCTGGTCCCTGTTTGACAGGTTCTCAAGCTAGTATTCTTTCAAAGCCTATCTCCAAGGAAGAAATCAGAGAAGTAGTCTTCTCCATGCCTGAGAATAAATCGCCTGGTTCGGATGGATATGGTGTATCTTTCTTCAAATCAGCGTGGCCAATTGTGGGAGAAGAAATCACTCTTGCCATTGAGGAATTTTTTAAATCTGGCAAGTTATTGGGTATGGTAAACTCTACTTCAATAACACTTATTCCAAAAGTGCAATGCCCAAAATATCCATCTGATTTTAGGCCTATTTCATGTTGTAATGTACTTTACAAGTTTATATCAAAGATCTTGGCAAATAGGATTAAAACAGTCATGGGTTTTTTGGTGAATGAAGCCCAAAATGTTTTTGTCAAAGGTAGACAAATAACAAGTAATATCTTGTTAGCACATGAATTAGCCAAGGATTATAGTAAGAAGCATGTTTCTTCAAGAGTTATGTTAAAGGTGGATATTAAGAAGGCATTTGACACTATCAGTTGGAAGTTTCTAAATGAAATGCTTAAAGGTCTGGGATTTGCTGTTGAGATGATTAACTGGATCATATCCTGTATATCTAGTCCTAATTTCTCTATTTCACTTAATGGTTCACTCCATGGTTACTTCAAGGGTGAACATGGACTTAGGCAGGGTGACCCTCTCTCTCCTTATCTCTTTATTTTACGTATGGAATATCTTTCGAGAAGTTTGGATTTGCTAAAGCTTGACAGACTCTTCAAATTTCATCCAATGTGTGGTAAGTTCAAAATTACTCATCTTATCTTCGCTGATGACTTACTTCTCTTTAGTAGAGGTGATTTGTATTCAGTGGAAAAACTGCATCTGTGTGTTGAAAGCTTTAGTAAAATCTATGGATTGGAGGCAAATGCAAGCAAATGCTCTATTTTTTTAGGGGAGTTGAGGAAAATATCAAAGCCTCAATCATAAATCTACTGGGATTCTCTGAGGGAACATTTCCAGTCAGATACCTTGGAGTTCCTTTAGTGTGCAAAAGACTTTCCTATGAAGATTGTAGCTCACTCATCAGCAAAGTTTCAGGCCAACTTCAAAACTGGTTGAAACACAATAATCTCACCTATGTGGGAAGACTACAAATCATAAAGAGTATTATTATGGGTGTACAAGTTTACTGGTCGTCCAACTATACGGTTCCTATCAAAGTCACACGCAAAATTGATCAATTATGTAGGGACTTCTTATGGGGAAAAACCAGTCAGTCTTCTAAAATACCTCTTTTTGCTTGGGAAAATGTTTATATGGATAGAAAGGGAGGAGGTTTAGGTGTTTATTCTGCAATAACTTGGAACTTGGCTGCAGCATTGAAAATCCTGTAGCAAATCCATATTAACAAGGAATCTCTCTGGAACAAGTGGGTACATGGGACTTACTTGAGAGCAGTGATATATGGCTTGTGATTGCAAAAAATAGTGACTCTTGGATGTGGAAAAAAATGATGAAAGCAAGAGATAGAGCTGCACTCTCCTGTGGAGGGATTGATAATCTGTTGCAACTACTTAGTGCTTGCTACAGGAGTTCAAAATTCCATATCTCAGTAGTGTACCATGCTCTGTCGCCAGTAACTCAGCAAGTGCCATGGCATAGCACTGTTTGGGATCAAATGTGCTATCCTAAACATTCCTTTATTTGTTGGCTTGCTGTCTTGAACAAATTACTCACCAAAGTCAGATTGATGAAGAGAGGGCTAATAAATGTCAGTACATGTTGCTTGTGTTCAGGAATTGATTTGGAAGATAGGAATCATCTATTTTTTCCTGTAACTACTCTAACGAGGTCTGGAATGAAATAATGAGTTGACTTCAATTTACCTAGAAATCATGTGAATGAAATCTTATCTTGGAATGGTTTTTTACAAAGCTAAGAGGGAAATGTTTTAAGCAATGAATCAAAAGAATGGCTTTTTCTATTGTAATTTACAGTATCTGGAATGAGAGAAATTTTAGAATTTTTCAACAGAAGCAAAGAACTGCAGCTCAATTAATTAAGGTGATTAAGATGGACATTCTATCCGTAGTCCTTAATTCACAAATTCAGGACATGAATCGGGAGTGGATACTCTCTTTGTGAAACCTGTAAACAGTTTTTTACTTGAAATTCATGTATACAGGTTTTTAAAATCTCAAATGCTTTGAGATATTTGATGTATATACATTTCCCACATTGGTGAATGAATAAAATTCTTTTCATTGACCCAAAAAAAGAATGTACCATATTAATCTAAGGCCAGGAACCTGACTCTATCATGCAGATGAAAATATTCCAAGGTCACCAAATTTCTTTCCTTGGTAGGTTTTGTCCCTAAGAGACTAATGAAACTTTTCAAGCTTTTGCACTCCTTCCCTATCTAAAATTTCTGCAAAGTCAATCTGATCGAGGGACTCTTTTAGGCAAGATATAATTACTTTTCTGATAAAATTGAACCCTTAGAATGACAGTCTTGATTAATTGTATCCTTCCTGCTATGAAAGCTTTCTATTTTAAAGCCAGGATTGAAATTGATTACATATATTTGAGATTAAATGACTATAACATAGGAAAGAGAGTCTTTCACTAATCAATGGCAGACTAATATTACCTAATAAGGAGCGACCCTTCAGAAAAACTAAGAGCAAGAGTGATATATGCCTTCACCTGGTCATTTGTTGCTGCATAAAAGATAGCAAATTTACTAGGATTGGCCTCCAAGCTAGAAACAACACTGAACTCTAATAAGCATCATAAAGCTTTGAAATAGTTCGAGTATATCCGCTATTAAAAAGTAGAGTAAGAAGGAGATGTAATGCATGCCATTATTCAATATATAACCTTATCCGGAAATCCAAGGCCAACTAGCATAGCTTTGGAAAACACCCAGTTAATAGTATCAAAGGCCTTAGCATACTTTTGGAGAGATGTTTTGCTTTCCATAATACTTAATTATCTTATGAGGCAACAAAATATTTCTAGTTATTAGTCTCCGTTTGATAAATGAACTTTGTGCTTCACTTATCAAAATATTACTAGTTGCTAGAATCTTGGTGATGATTTTGTAGAGGTAGTTACAACATGCAATTGATATGAAATCTACAGCTTCTAGGGGCATCGTACCTTTGGAACTAGTGAAAGATTTGTAGAATTAAACCTACCAAAAATTTTATCATATCTTTAAAAAAAAATTTCCACTAGCAAGGAATACTAATAATGGACCAAAGATGACTTAAAGAAAAGAGGCACTGAAGCCATGTGGACTTACTGCTTTGTCATCAACCTTGGAGAAGAATGTAATTTCAATTTCATCCCTTCTAAATCTTTTTTGGTGTCAAGTCTATAGTATTTCGACCATTTGCCCCACTTTATTTGGAATTTAGATTTCTCGTAGTTTATAAAAATGTTCGTCTCATTATTTTACACTTGAATGGAAATTTTAACCCTATTGTTATTTGTCAAAAATCAGACATTTTTAGCCACCGTAGTTATATTCTTCTTGGACCACAACGGCAGCTATGTGGAAGATGGGTAGCCCCTGGTGCCCCACGAACAACAGCTTGATTCGATGAATTTGGCTGAAAAATAGGTCTTTGACCTGTTTGCTTTATTTATGAAGCCAACGTGTTCGTATCTGTATGTACCCGACCCTTCTGTCTCCAAACTCTATCTTTCTCATTTTCAAAGGACGATATCTCATTGAGAAAGAAGAGGAAAAAGGGGAGACCAAGGAGAAGCTTTGATCGATCATCCTGCATTCTTTGATCGAGGGATTCTTTTGTTGTCGGATCTAATTCTAACCAAGGTAATTACTTTTCTTGCATAATTATTCCTTAACATACAAATGTAGTTACTGATCAATTCATGCTCTCTTATGTTGCTCTTCCAGTTATCAATAGTTTTGGTAGAACATATAATTCTTGAATAGGAAATACACGAAGTTGTTGTTGTTGTTTTTGTTTCGGATCTTAATTACACATTTTTGACATTGGTCACATTAAAAATTAGGTTTTTATGATCAATCTTCAACACAAGATCAGACGTTTACCATAGATTAGACATTTTGAGTTAAAGATTAATTCAGATTAGAATATTGTTTAAACCCTAGTTCTTGAAGTGTTACATTGGACCTATAACTTAGTATGCATATTGTATTAGATTGGAGGCGAATTAGCTGAGAAACAGTGTCACATGGAGCTAAACAGCA